GAAACAACTCCAAGCAGGTTCATAGAGATTATGCACATCATTTAGGTTTCAATTCTATGTGTATAAGATATTGTGGGTTCTCCAAATTGTCCAGAAGCTCAGCCAGTAGATCGGGATCAACCAAGGCCTGCTCGATGTCCTCAGCGAAAACGCGTGGAGTTCAGATGAAATTATGAACCGGATCCTCAATGACTGATACAATGCCCTTTTTTTTCCTTTGTTGGGTACATTTTTCCACTGCGACCAGTTACAATGCCCTTAGTTACAAAACAACTCCAAACAGGTTCATTGAGATTACGCTCATCATTTGGGTTTCAATTCCATGTGTATAAGATGTTCTAGGTTCTCCAAATTGTTCAAGAGTTCAGTCTATTTGATCTACTGGATCAACCCTGTGCGAAGTCTTCACCTACCCAAACATTTTCATAGAGTTTTTGTGCTTAATTTATAATTTAAATGTTTGAAGTATATAAGATGCTCAAGGATCTCAAATTTATCCTGGAGTTCTAATCAAGTGATCAACCAGATCAACAAAGACTGATACATTGCCCTTAGTTACGAAACAACTCCAAACAGGTTCCAACACCCACGCCACAGAGGATGTCGTGCAGGCCTGGGTTGGGTATATCAAAAAGTCTGAACTCCTAGACAACTTGGAGAACCGAGATCATATTATACACATGAATTTGAACCGTTAATGTTGTTTATAATCTATGTGAAACTATTTCAAGATACTTCGTTACTAAGGGCCTCGTAGCAATCATTGATGATCTGGTAAATCATTTTATCTGAACTCCAGGATAGTTTGGAGAACCATGAGCATCTTATTTACCTCAAAATAGATTGTAAGTTTGTCGTCAATGACGACGTTGTGTAGGCCTTGATTGATCCAGTACATCAAATAGTCTGAACTCCTGGAAAATTTGGAAATCCTAGAGCATCTTATACACATGGAATTGAAACGTATTTACTTGTTTGAAGATGATTCGTTACTAACCCAAGTAACCAAAAGTTATGATAAAACGCAATTTGTGATTTAAGCAGCTTGGTTGAAGGTGGTCTATAGAATTCTAAGTAGCCGTATTTTTAAGTCGTTATAAGAACTTCAATGTTCCGGAATCATAATTGAAAAGCATTCTAAACAGCTTTTGACGGAACTTGAACGGAACTTTTAGAGAATAAGTTAAAAAAGGTTTTTGTCCTCTCACCAATTTTATATTGTTCGCACTTTTATGAAAGTTATTTCTAAATGTAGGTATGAACGTGTATTGATTTATCAGCATTAGTATTAGTATTGGAGCTGTTTTTGAAGAATTAATCCCACTCCTTCTGCGTGAGAGCCCTAGCACGAACCACTATGTCATCTGAGTTATATTAAAGTGAGCTGAACTGTTGGAATTCTCAGTGCCAGCTGACTTACTTGAATACGAAACACAACAACTTGCTGAATTTTAAATTGGTATTTACCCGCATCTCATTCCAACTGACTTGTGGTGCAGTGGATAGCGTTCGTAAAGCGCGTGCCGAATACACGGATTCGAATCCAGGATTTTTTTATGTTTGGATAGAATATTGATGCACTGCATAAATATAAGAATTACCATTTATTTGAGCCACTGATCATTTCATATTTACGTACATTAAAATTTGTTATTAATAAAGACCTGTGCGGATTGCTTCATGTGGGCTATGACGGACCTTTTTAGAAACTTTCAAGTTGCGCAGGTATCTTTTAAGATACTTTAAAGTTGCTAAGAAGTTTCGCTGGGAATTTGTTCGGAACTTTGTTGTGGCCATGTTTTCAGCCGTGCCTGAAGTTTAGGCTTCTTATGGATACTTTTTGGAACTTCAAGCTGCTAGAAGTACGCATCGAAACTGTTTGGAACTTAAAAGTGGGTTTTATCGTTGAATACGGAACTTTTGGTTACTTGGGAAGGACCTTGTACAAGTCATGGTTGATCTGGTAGATCATTTGATCTGAACTACAGAATAATTTGGACGTAATAAAACATCCCAAAACAAATTCTTCCCGTACTTAAATAGACATGTTAATATGAAAAAGCGTTAGTATTTCCTTAAAATATGTTGTAGGAAAAATCCGGACTGGGGGCGATTTATTTATTATGTCACGCTAAATTGAAGAAAAATAAACTCCCCCTCCTTCTTTCGCGACGTTTTTCCTATACCTAATGCATTGCTTGTCACAAACCACCCCCCACTATCCCCCTTAGAGCGTGACATTATATGTGAGTCACCTCATGAAAGGGTTAAATCAACTTGACTTTTAGCGAATACAACACATCAAGAAGACTGGCAACTCTTCCGTTTTCTCGTACAACCGCTAAGAGATAGGTACAATCGCGTCATCTGCCGCTCAAAGGTAAATGCTTCGAACGAATTTGATAGCAAAGATTACATCCTCAGAAGAAAGGTTTGGGTATTTCTTCATTTTCTATGCGTTGCTTCCACCTTCGCTCAAGTGCAGCGCTACTGTATCTGTCGCTTTTATTCTGGCAAAGTTGCCAGTCTTCTTGATAGGATGTCTTCGCTTTCAGGTTAAAACAAACTAAATTGGGTGAACAACAACCTAAAAATTAGTTGAAAACAGAGCTACATTTTAGTTTGAATTCTTGGTATCCTGGCATTTGCGTATCGAGATTTTATTGTGATGTTATTTAAACAAGACCCACCTAGCTGATCTGATTCAAAGTAAGAATGTTCGATTTCTTGTGGCTGTGACTGTTGATTGATATTCGTGGACAGAGTAATCGACGGGAGTTGCTGGGATTGTTGCTGCTGCCGTTTTAAGGGAACCTCAAGGGGTAATCAACTCTACTTACTGTGCCGAACTACATCACGGCACACTGATCGGCACTTTAGGACACAGTTTGACAAGTATGTAACAGAATATAATATAACGTTGCTAACGTTGTCCAATGCTTGCTAAGGTTTCGCACATTGTTGACAGTGGTTCATCTTCACTTAAGAATGAAATTAATAAATCCACCGGACTAGACGATCAGATTTTGGATAAGAAGACAAACATATACTTTAATCGGAATCCGCCTCGAATCTCTACTGCAGCCAGTAATTCGTCAAATTCCCTGCAAGAGTTGTTAAAGTGTTGTGATGAATACCTGCGCCGAGATCATCACCAGCAACAGCAATAATTAGGAAACGCTCAGGGTCATCTACTTTTGCAACCAACACTTGCTTGGCGTTTCCGGTAGCGACAATATCGGTAATCACGGTTCACATGGGTCAATACCACAAGGTGGTCAGATACAAACTGTCATATCAGGTACCATCCTCCCCGGATGAGTAATCTACGGAACCACCGGTCGCTGCAGCTGCGGTTGGCTCTTTTCCAGGAAGGACCCCAAGTAACATTGTAAGTTTTATTGAGGTTTTTTAGCACTCTACAAGTCTAAATCATGTTCTACAGTACCCTCATAAAACCCAAAGCCCCGATCCCGGTAGTCGTCCCATCCTCGGCATCCGAGCTCGGAAGCTCAAACAAAATAACAACCAGAACAATCCAGAATCTTGATTTCATTCCATCTCCCAGCATAGTACTAATTTCCTAATTCATGGCTTTAATCCAGAGTCTTGATAATTTTATCACCTCTCAACATTATAGCAGATTATGTTAACTACAAACATGATAAACATCATCTACATTGTACCGTTCTAATAACAACCCTTGATGATGTTATCATGATGATAATTTCTAGGGTGATTTGTTTTTTAGTAAACAAAAACTGCAGTGAGATTTCTTATTCAATTTCATCAAGTTTGTTGGATGATTTAATTAAAATGTTGGTTATTTCTAGCATTTCGTTGTATATTTTAATCAACAAGATAGGGGAAATGGATGTAATGTCGGCCTAAATGCTCCTAATTTGGGCCCATACATAAATTATGCAATCGACTAAATTTTCGATAGCGACCAAAAATATCCATTAGTACCGTCCCAATGACGCGTTCATCTAGATAAAATTGATAAATAGCAGATTTTTAGCGATGGGCCCACTATTAGATCCATAGGCCAACATTAGAACGATTTCCCCTAGTTGATTTAAACTAAAATTTGTGTGCAACATTATGGTTATTTCAAATAAATATTTGTTGAATTGAGGTTGAAAAGTGAAGCAACAACAACCTAACATTTTAGTTACTCTCGAACATCGCAATTTGTTGAACCATGCAAATTTCGACGTTGTTCACCCCCTGACGATAATAGAATAAGGTATTGCCGAAGCCGTCATTTACCCTAGTAAGAATCAAATTTATTTGCTTATTTAATTCGAAAAATAGAAGCATTTTAAAACTTCTCTTCCATCGCGCGCAAAATTTTAAATCTGCGTCGTAATGATGTTTTTTTTTGTAAAGGATGGAGATCTTCTCCTTGCAAGCTCAAAGCATGCCATTAGATTTGTCCCCAAGCCCTTTTAAGAGGCAACGAGACGTCATTATTATTTGGAAATTCAAAAGCAGTTTTTCGTTTTAATCTGAAGTTCTGTCAATGCATATTTGTTCCGGTAGGCAAGTAGAATGCAATGAACACATTTTCTAGAACGTTATTTTGATTGTGATGGATCAAACTGCATTTGGATTTTTGAAAATTAATGACGTCCCCTTTCACCTTAACCACACTTCTTCTTGACGGTGATTTGAGAACATTAACGCTCAATGAATAGCAACTTAATAATAAGCAACTCACACACAAAATATCACAACTTCAGAATTGGTAGAGCTGTTGATTTACTCATTTTTAAGCAATAATTGGACTCATTTTTAGATCATCCAGTTCTTATTTTGTGATAAATGATTGTGATTCCATTAATTCAAAAGATATTTGTCTTTGGGGTGTGTAGCGCCTGAATTCGAAAATACCGACGGCACCGGAAAAATCTACCGTCTATCCTGCAATCGTTGGTATCCTTTGATCTTAATCTAATTTATAGTGACGATATTATTTCTTTTTTAGTTGTACCAACCTGGGGCCCGTGTTGCCGGTGGAGCCTGTTGATTCTGGTTGGACTTGCCGAATGTGGTCAATGCCGACGAACTGACGCCAAACAGCACTATTAGCACGGCGAACAACGTACTTATACTACCACAGCGTGTCATTTTCTTCAGGGCACCCATTTTTCCGCAAGATTGCCTTCGCCTACGTTTGAACTTTCACCCACAAACCTCCAGGAAACAAAATTAATCCGTCAGCCTGCAGAAACCAACTACACTTCAACGTACGACGACACTAACGACGGGAAACGATAATTTGACAGCTGCAGTGACACCACAAGTGCGCTAATATATTCACTACTCGTTAGCGGAGAACCCGGTCTTGACGTGGGTAAGAACCGAAACGACTTATGGATCAAGACTTGCCAAACCAAACTACATCGGTCAATTAGTGCTAGCAGTGAAAATTGCTTTCCCGACCGTACCGCAACAGACGTTATTTTAAAATGAGCCGAGGTTTCTCGCCACAGCTAGCTACAAGTACCCTTTCGGAATACAGCGAACGCCTAACCTAGCCGTCGTACGAGCGATGCCATCGCCAAACAACGTTACTCATAAAAACTGCGCATTTGCCTATCGCGGTGGGATGTTTGTTTTCGCTCAAAAATCCACCATCCACCGCAACGTCCCAGCCCGTATGTGGGCAACGCAAACTCTAGATCCCACGATATCTCCCCACCTGGTAGGCAAAAGTTTGCGTGTTTAAAACCATATTTCGCGCTCTTCGTTTCAACGAACGAAAGAACGAACCCTCCCGTGTGTGCCAAGCTAGGAGACCTTTCTTCGCCGAGATCCTTGCCGTGCAACTTGATTCTCCCCTGCTGCTCTCTCTTGGCGTTTGCTGCTGCTGAGACGAAGACTCCGTAAGAACATTGTTACAGTTTGTAAATATTTGTAGGTATACTGCACGGGCAATGAGAGTAGCTCAACATTGCAAAAAGTGGAGTTTCTCACCGAATGAGTGAAATTTTCCTCAATTTTCCTGGAAAGAGCTTCTTGAATATGAGGAAATTCGAGAATCTGAGTAACTTCACTTTTTGCGAATTTTGAGGCAAATTCGACTCAATTTTGAGTTATTCTCATTGGCCGTGTATGATGTTCTGCCTGTCGAACGGAGTCAGTTGAGAGAAAATTGAAACGGCTCTGCTGATTGCAGCAAGTCAATCGCATGCTTTGATTGTCAGTCGTTTTTGTATCATTCTCAAGCATTCATTGTACATGGGTAGAGAGCTCTAATGGAATGTAGTTGGAACCCTTTGTAACTGCGTGATAGTTGAAACTGACGCGATGCAATGGAGGCGGATGGTAGCCCACGCAAAAAAAACTGCCAATGGCTTATCAAGCGTGTTTCACAAAATTTTGCTACGCAGTATTTCTGAAACGCTTAGTAAGGCTTATTTCAAAAATAAATGGCATTACACTTATTCCTATATGAATCTAGAGAGATTTGTTTGAGAGTTAAAAGTTTGTTCCAACGTTGTCTTCATTGGTTTCGATTATGTGTTCAGTTTGGTCTTCCACCCAACAAACAATTTTAGCAGCAGATCAGCTTATACAGACAAAAATTAGCTGCATAAGGCAATTTTCTGCTGTATAAGCTAGTCTGCAGCTAAAATTGTTAGTTGGGCAGTTCATTAACTAAGAAATAATTTTCCAACAGTTTTTGAAGTCTTTGAATGGTTTTTGCCATTTTCGTAGAAAGTTTGAGTCGCGTTAATGGGTTGTACATCAGTGCGGATTTGCTAGCGCTAGTGTACTAGCCAACTAGCACGAATTTCAGTTGCTCCTGAAATCTCATGCTGATAGACGCTGATGCCCTGTTTACATTATGCTGGTGAGCTTTTTTGCTAGCAGCTGGCTCATTAGCGCTAGTGAAAAAGCATAAGCTTAAACACTCCATAAATCAACGTTGTCAAGTAGCGTGAATGTGTCGCGATTGGAAATGAGATATTTGAAATATGAAAAGGCTTGCAGTGATTGAAAGGGGAGAGGGGCAGGTTGTTTTCTTAAGAAGAAGTTTGAATAATTAACAATTGGGGATTGAAAAATGAGAAGAATTAATAGAATCGATAAAGTCAGTAATCAAGAATTGGCTAGCGGAGAAACTCAACGAAAGAAAATTTTCAAATGCCCATGTGATGTGGTGGTATGTTAAAAGGGAAGTTCATTCAAGAGGAAGAAAGTTGTGTAATGTTAAAGGGGTGCATAAAGAGTGCCTTCATAATTATGAGAGGGAGATATTTACACTTTGTAGATAGTTCTTTGAAGAAGTCAAGCTGAACATTGCATCATCAACTTTCTCTTTGTATCCCCACGGCCATGTAAAGACATTCCCAGATATTTTCAGCACACAGATCGATAAAAGAAGCTCTTGTCTAGCATCTATTACGATAAACACAACAAGAAACGATTATAAGCTCTTATTAACAAAAGATCAAGTCGACGAAGAGAATCGATCAATGTTACTCAGGACCTAATGCAATCTTCAGCTTGAAGTAAGAAGAAAGAGTGACAGAGAATGAAGGTGAATGTGTTTAGCTGACAGTTTACGCTGAGTGGAGGTGAAATGATTTCGGTTGATTATTAATATCTGGTGTTTGTAAAGATGACACGATAAAGGAAAAAAACTAGCATTGTTAACAAATGCATTCATGAGGAAGACGGAGAAAAGATGTCACGAGAAAGAGTGATGGTCTGGAGAATACATATTTTATCTCAAATCGAGGGAAGACATCCTGTACAAGCTCTACCACAAACTGGACTAGTTCATGGTAAAATTTGGAATTCTACATCAGCACATGTCAAGCTGCCTTTAGGTTCAACCTAGGGGCAAGTCAGCTTTTAATCATGAGTAATATTGGAGTTAATTTTGAGTAACTCTGAGTAACTCGAGTTGCTCATTATTGAATGCACGGTAACACAGCAACCTGTTTTGTACGTGTTTATTTCCCAAATGTCAAAGTTTGACGAAGCAAGTATTCCAGAAGTCTACAACCCACCATCATTTATCGACGGATTATACTGGATCATTATCTTCAAATCCCATAATCTTCGTACCTTTTCTGCTAAACCTAACGAAACAGATTTCACCTGAATTGAATTCAGACAATCAACATTCAATGTTGACCATCAACGTGGAAAGGATTGCATCCGTAAAAATCCAAGTGTTTTAGCGTCTCTGAGAAGAGTCAATTCATTTTTCATAACATCTTTAATAGAATAATATCAAATAACCTTCGTTTTATTCTAGGTAATTCTCCTGGTTATAAATTTTTTTTTTACATAGGTTCGGCTGGAAATCAATGAAAAATGTTGGTAGGTAACCCGTTCCTTCTCTAGTATAACCACTTGATGTTGCATGCATCATCACTACTACTACTACTACGGCTGAATACTGATTCACATGGTTTTCTAAAATATTTATTTAAATGAATTCCATTTTATAGTAAATAATCATTGATTCGATGGAAAATAAACTTTTTATGTTTATAGTTACATTTGTTTATTCAAAACATTAAGCTCGGTCAAACCAAATAAAGCTAGTAACCTTCTTGAATTTCCTTCTTCAAAAAATTCGTTGAATGTAGTTTCAATTGCGTAAATTTACAGTTAAAATTGTAGACCCTTAATTTGCTAGAAAATAAAGCGACCCATCATAATGCACACCTTTCTGGATGTTTCGACAATAATTTCACTGTTGCTGGAATATTCTCCGGAGCTATTTATATAGCTAGCTAATTTTCTATCTTATTGTCCACTCATACCCCTAAAGCTTCCGCTTGACTCTACGATTCCACAATACTTAACATATAAGCGAAGATAACACATCAAGTTGCTTCCACCTTCACCCAAGCGCAGCGCTATAGGCATTTTTAATGCACCACCAACGTAGAGGGCACCACGCGAGTTTGAAAGGAAACGTCAACCAAACCGTTTGTTTACATCAGAAGAAGGATTTTTAACAACAAAAATTAAAGCATTTTTCTTAGAACATCTTGCCAATTTCCATCAGTAATTGGCTTATTTTACAATTTTCCACACATCTGAACTGATTTGCACCTAAATTATTCACACACAAGCAACCCGGATGATCAGAACCACTAAGAAACTATTGGAATTTAGCATTTTTCTCAACAAAAATATGCCTGAACACTAGCAGAATTCTTGCAAAAATGATACAGAATTAAATTTTTCAACTATAGATCAAGTTTTCGAGCATCTCAGATGAATCAATTTATCAGGAAAAGTGAAAAAGTGTTCCGCTTCCTATGTCTCACGGCAAAAATTTCTGCTCACAACACTATTTTTGACGTTCTCATATTCACCACCAGATGATGAATTGATCGCTTAGTTTCTATTCAAAAGGCGTATTGTATCTGTCGCTTGGATTCTGGCAAAGTTTCCAGTCTTCTTGATATGATCTCTTCTATAAAAGGGTAATGGGCTGTAAATGGATTAAATTGGACTGGAGTATATGTATCATTATAATAAAATAATTTGAAAAAGATCACTCTGACAGTTGATGTTTTTTCAAATAGTTTTTTTTAATTTGTTGATGAATGTACGACCTCGTGTGCGACTACTTTGATCAATTTTGAGTAATCATGAGTTACTCAAATTTACTCGCTGCATAAATATTAACTCTGAGTACAGCTGGCTTGCCCTTGGGTTCAACTGTCTAAATTTGGTTAGTTCGCTCCCTTATGTCAATATTTATCTTTTCAAACCAGTAACGCTGGTAGATCACCTTTTCGTGGTGCGTTGCTGGTGTAAGATCTATCACGGAACCCCACAGAATTTCAAACTGGGGGAACAGTTTATTTGCGGATGATTGTATCGTCTTGGTTTCTTCTGCGTACTTTTCCGTTCGTTAGTTTAATAAACTTCTAATTAGGAACTAAGCATACTGTAGCACTGTAACAACTTTTTTTTTTTATTTATTTAATGAATTTGGCAATGCAATTCAAACAACAATGTCGAAAAAAGTTACTTTAGTCAGCCTTGCATATTTAATCACAGAGAACAGACGTCCATCTTCAGTCAGAAACATGTGTAAAAGTAAGTGGTCTCATCGCCGTTACATGGCGCTAGCATCTCCTGTTCCTCTATGAATTTTTCACTAATTACCAATAAGGCGCTAGTATAGACATTTCTGTAAAAATTGCCACTGG